AAATATTTTAACTTTATTACTTACAACAAATACGGAAAGAGATTTGGACAAAATTTCTGTCGGCAAATTTGAAAGACCTTTAACAAAAGATGAAGTAATATCAATAATACGTGAAGTATTTACTGGTGGATTAGATACTACTTCAAACTCTTTATCATACATTATTTTCTATCTTGCTAAACATCGAGATGTCTATTTGAAAATGAGACAAGAAGTATTAGATGTTTATGGCACACTTAACAATCCTGTGCTTACATTGGAGTCAGCTGGAAAACTCAAATATATAGAAGCTGTTATCTATGAAAGTATCCGCATGTTTCCTACAGTATCAAATATACCTCGTGCTGCAACCGAAGATATTGAATTTGATGGTTTTATAATTAAAACCGACACAACAGTTCATACTGATTTTCTCGTGTTAAATCATAATCCTAAATACTTTAAAGATCCTGAAACTTTTAATCCTGATAGATTCTTGACTGATAAAGAATCGATTCTTAAATACGTTTATATTCCTTTTGGGAATGGTGTACGCGCGTGCCCTGGTCGAGCCTGGGCTATGGTACAAATGAAAACTTTCTTGGTTAAACTTGTTTGTACATTTGATATAGATTCAAATGATAAAAATGATACTCCTAAGTCTTCTTATCATGCCGTAAATAGACCTGCAGATATATACATTAATGTTAAGACCAGAAATTGTTAATATTTAACTAGTAAATACAGATTGGATAGCTTCACCGCGCAGTTGAAATTGTTATTGAAAAACAGAAAGATATAATATTTAAAATTTTAAAAAGTAGCTGCATATAAGTAGAATGAAATATTTGTCAGTGTTATAATTATGTTTATTATAAATATATTTGTGAATTTTTAAAGTAAATAAACAGAACAACTTTCATTAATAATAGTTATAAAATGACGGCGTTTTATTAGTTTTAAGTAAATACAGTATATTCATAGAATAACTTTTTCAAGAAAATTTCCAAGATTTTTTAAACTGGTGGTTTTTTTTTAGCTGCCTTTTTTAAATTAAAAGTCAGTATTTCAATATGGGTAAAATCCCTGACTGTGTAATAGGTATATATGTTACGCGTCATTTTTGAAATTTTAATCTCCACATATGTTACGTGTCATTTTTGAAATTTTAATCTCCACCGATTGAAAAATAACTCAGGTCAAATCATGATGTATTTTTTATTTATCGATATAAAGGAAATTGAATATGAAATAATATGCTTGTCGTCGGCGGTGACAGTACTGGATTTTATTTAAAGCTATATTTAGGGTCAGAAAGGGTCATAATATATGGGGCGTCGTCAATCAAAACGTACCATAGTGAGATTAAAAAATTGTTAATAAAAGATTAATTGTAACATGGAGTGTCGTTGATTAATTATCTATGTTAATGTTTATACTGAGTAAGTTGTTACAAATAACATGTTACGATTAATTTTGTATAACAATTTTTTTAATCTCACTATGGTACGTTTTGATTGACGACGCCCTATATAGTAAAATTATGCAAGGAATATTTTTTGTTAAGACATGAAAGTTGATTTCATAGACATAATTTTGAGTTATTTTGATTTGAAATTTTTGAGGTTTTTGAATCGTGCAATCTGATTGGGCTGGGTCTGTCACTGCCAGCGACAAATAGATTTGCACATATAATATTACATATTTTGCAAAAAAGTATATTCAGTAAAATATATTTTGTATTTTATTTATTTATGCAATAAAAAATCCAAGCTGGTTAAGATAATTCTTTAAATTTCTTTTATATTATTTTATAGTGAATCCACAAAGTTTCGATTTTCTAAGTCGTGAGTCTTTTGAGCGAATACATCAAACTTTTATTAATCAAAAAAAAAAATTAATGTTGTTTAATGGATAAAAATTGTTACAACAAGTGTTGAAAAATTATAACCTGCCATATAACTCAAGTTTAAAGTATTAGTTACTCATATTTACAAAATATTTACTATCAGTATAGTTGAAGAACTTTATTTACTTAAAGGGTATGAATAATTTGGGGATGAAGTTTTTATAATCGAAAATTTTTACGAATTTGTGGTGTACATCAAACAACTAAACACAGAGGACATGAAAAACTTGGAAAA